AGTTCCTCGAATGTCATTTTGATGTTTTCGTTTTCTTCTGGCTCTTGAATAGTATCTGGCCTTGAGTCTACATCCGTTTGTCCATCTTCAGTTGAGGTTTGAGTTGTTAAATTCTAAACTGAATTCTGTAGTTGCTATTTTTCATCTGCAATGGCATTTTGTATGCTTGAATCTGCCACTAAATTGATACTTCTAGAAGTCTGTTGATCACCACAGATTTGCCTAATTCCCCATGGCGAAGGGAACTTAATAACCTGGAGTAAAGTAGATGGAACAACATCCATCTCATGAATCCAAGGTCTGCCGAGGATCATATTGTACGTCATGTCCATATCTATTACTTGAAATTTTGTATCTTTGACTACTCCTTCTGCGAATGTGGTGAGTATTATCTCTCCTTTTATGACAACGCTTGAATTGTCAAATCCAGATAAGCTACGTGCATTGGGTACCAATTTGTCATCAGCTAGCATCTTGTTTACCACTCTTAAAAGAATGATGTTTACAAAGATAGCCGGATCAATCAAAACTCGTTTCACATTAGTATCATGTACAAGGAAAGATATTACCAGTGCATCATTGTGTGGGATCAACACGCATCTGCATCTGCATCATCAAATGTTATATTGTCTTCTTCCAAACTTGGTGAACTCGCTTCCCGTGGGTGACTATGATTTTTGACACCTTTTTTGCAGCCGTATATGTCACACCACTGACCTCCTTTCCTCCACTTTTGCCATTAACCGTTCTCTTTGGTGACGGAGGTTTTGGTGGCTCCTGTCTATTCTTCATATATACTTGCTTACCCTTCTCACTAAACAAATCAGTTAAGTAGCCTTATTTTAATAAGTGCTCTACTTCACCTTGTAGCAATCTGCAATCTGCTATTTTATGACCGTGATCATTATGAAACTCGCACCAGAAATCTGGGTTTCTTCTGTTGGGGTTCGATCTCATTTCTTTTGGCCATCGCACCTTATCTCCCATGCTTCTTAAAACAGCTACCAACCCGGATGTGCTAACATTGAAACTGTAACCACCCATCTTCACTTTGAACTTCTGTCGTTGTCCGTGTATCTCGCGTGTCTCGCTCCTTTACAAACTTTGATGACGAACCCGAATCTCTGTCCCTTGATCTGGAATCGTACCTCGGGTTCTCTTGTTTTGAACATGAATCCCTTCCTGCTAGTCCCATGTAAGGTTCGTACCTGTTCTTATCGGACCTTTTTTTAGTTTTTGGTCGCCTCAAACTTACTCTTTCATCCTCCCATGACTGAGTGATAGTATCTTCTTCTATCCGCAGCTTCGCATTATACCTATTATAAACATCATTCCAAGTTGTTGCAGGAAATTCTCGTAAGCTTTCTTTGAGTCTCCTCGTGGCTTCTGAGCTTTTTTCATTTAAATTACTTGCAAATGCCATAGCCGCCCAATTGTCAGGTACACGTGGTAACACCATTCTTTCATGCTGGAATCTATCCACGAATTCTCTGAGAAGCTCCGTATCTCCTTGTTTTATTGTGAAGATCTCTTCCATCCTCTTTTCAACTTTTTGAGCTCCTGAGTGTGCTTTTATAAATGAATCTACAAGCTCAGCAAATGAATCAATAGAATTTCAGGTAAAAGAGAATAACATGTCAGTGCTCTCTTTGTGAGTGTTTCTCCGAATTTTTTGACCAGCACCGACTCAATCTCTTGCTTGGTCAAATCGTGCCTTTCACGCCAGTTGTAAATGCAGTTACATGATCTTGTGGATCGGTTGTCCTATCATACTTCGGATATCGAGCATCTTAAACTTTTTGGGATTAGGCAAAGGAGCGGAACTTGGCTTCGAGGGTTGTTGAGAATATTTATCCATATCCACTCCTTTGATTACAGGTGGAACACCAGGTATCTGCTCTATGCGATCGTTCTGCTCCTTGAGCTGTTTTTGCAAAGTTGGTACTAAACATTGTAAATAAGAATTAATTGGAACACCTGATCCTCCATCACGAGATTCGTTGGGAGTTCCTCCACTGCCCGAATTGGCGAGTCCTGAGCGTAGATTTTCTATGGTTGCGGTGTTATTCGGAGGTGGAGTTGGTGGTATAGTTGGCAACCCACTGACAAAAGCTTGAAGAGCATTGTTGACCTGTTTTGCGATTAATTGCTTCAATGCTTCATCAATAGCTTGATCATCCACAAGTTGGTCATTCACATGTGATATTGATCTGTCAGGTGACCCTTCTCGGGACTGTTGCGGAGAGTTTCGTGTTGTAGGGGCTAGAGTTCCATCCTCTTATTGATTTTGCTGGTTCAACTGGTGTTGCTGATTTTGTTGATTGTTGTCGTTAGCAGTCGACTTGATCTTTTGATAGAAAAAAGAATTCGGAAAGTGAAAAGATTATCAGATTTCCGGTAATGGAACCAATTTGTTTAACCAAAAAATAGGAATTTCAGTCAAAGCCTTTTTTTAGAAGTACTTGGGCTACTGATAATCAAGAAAATCAATATTCTCATAATAAGAAAGGAAATTAGAATATGAAATGGTAAAGTAATCAAGCAAAAGAAAGTAATTATATTCCAATAATAATCCGAATGTGTCCATACAGATGACATTTCTTTCCCTTATATAGTGACCTCCAAGTGCAACGTCTTTTCCCTTTTATGACTTAGTCATTATGAGCATTAATGACATTAATGAAACGTTATAATTTGTAATCGTAACTGTTTGGTGAAGATTCTGTAACGTTTGTAATCATCCATGCTCATTAATTGAAGACCAATGAATCTGCCCTTTTTACTGTCTAGGTTCATTCTTCCGGTGCCTCTCCAAATCGCTTAAAGAGACTCGAGCAACCGTTTCTTCTCATCTCCTGGGTGTTTTGCTCGTATCTATTAAGACTCCCGTCTTTTTTAATGCTCTTCTCCAGCTGTCGCTTTTCTAGTGATCCACGTGTCTTGCCATGTCAGCAACATAATCAATTCCACGTGTACTATTCACTTTCTCCAATACATCCAAGATATTGAGAAGCTAAGAACATTGGTTTGGATCTTTTATATGTAAGTCATAAAGTAGTAGACATTATTAAATTGGATCGATCTTTACAAGGTGGGACTTGTACTTCACAAGAAAAAAGAGCTGTCAACTTAGTACCCTTCAGAAATCAGAATTGGCGTGCCATAATTGCCGGAATCATTTGGTTCCCATAACGTAGAATTTGAAATGCACAAAGCCTAAAGAGGGCAGTCATTTTCCATTGTTTGATATGTTTTCTCTGATATTCCTAAGAAATTGAAATTGATAACAATAGCATTTTCCTATCAGAATTATTCTATTGCCACAGATTAAATATTACATAAACATAGCGAATTCAGAATTTAAATATGGTAAATTCTAAGTTGGAAATATGAGTTCCAAAATATATATACTATTTAACTCATACATACTTTAGAAACAGAAACAGTTGGTTCTGTTGAACTCGGCGATTTCTATATTAATTAGATCCGCAACTGCTAATTCTGCTTTTCTCGAGTGTAATTTAGAGGATATACTCTTTCAGTTGTCTCGTTATTTATTTAGTTTTCGGATGAGATAAGCAAATTAAGGAACAAAAGAAAGGTCATTGCTATATTAAAATATTCCCCCCCCCCCAAAGTTAGTAACAGTTCTACCATCGAGTTTTTGCAATTCCACGGCAAAATAATTCGTTTTAACCACTTGTTTTGCTCTTTCGCGGTAAATACATAATTTGTTTTAACCATTAAATGGGAGTAATATATACTTACTTATTTAGAGCCTTTATCGACTAAACTAAGTAGTATATGATATGAACTACTGATTTTTGTATTGAAGTTCTAATAATGAGTCAATTTGAACATTAAAGTCAAACTAAGGAAACGCGTACTAATTGGGCTTGCAGGAGACCTAGGCATTTTTTGGTTAAAATATCATGGTATAGCCAGTTTTCACACTGGTCAATGAAAAATAGCCAACGTTTATCAAGTCAATGAAAAATAGTCACTATTTTGCTGCAACAGGGACCGGTCCAGTATAATATACGGGAGTTCTGGTGCATTTGTGTACGAACTCCAGCATAATATGCTGGACCGGTATACTTTGCTAACTCCTGTAAAATTTGCGGGAGACTGGAGTACCAGTGCTCCAAACTCCAGTATATTATTCTGGACAATTATACTTGCTGGAACTCCCGTAAAATTTGCGGGAGTTCCAGCATAATTATGCTTGAACTCCCGTAAAATTTGCGGAAGTTCCAGCATAGTTATCCTGGAACTCCTGTAAAATTTACGGGAGTTCCAGCATACTTATGCTGGAACTCCCGTAAAATTTGCGGGCGTATTTTTCCGGATTTTGAACACTATTTTCGCTCAGATTTAAAGTGGCTAAATTTCGATGACTTTTGAAACTTGGCTATTTTTCAACGACCAGTGATAAATCTGGCTATTTTTGAATTTCTCCCCATTTTTTGAAAGGAAAAAACAAAAGTTCTGTTTTATCAAGGTTAAGAAAAAGGGTAAACTAGACGGTGAAAATACTTACTCCCTCCGGTCCACTGACCAATTTGCTTTTTTATTTTAGTCCAAGATAAGTATTCATTTATATAATCAAGAAAAAATTTAATTTGTTTTTACCCTTATATACATATCTCTAAAAAAAATTCTTACTCCTCTCATTAAATATTTAATTAAGGGTAATTTCGTCATACTAAGTATTTTTATATAGAATTTATTTTTTTAATGGACGTACCAAAAGTAAATTGGTCAGTGGACATGCGAAACTATCAACTTACACTTATTATGTTCCCCTGGTAATATTAGACAGTCTAATTTAGACTGCAGAATAGTGTGAACGTCCTACGTAGACTTCACCTCTTATTGCACGTACTCCTAGAAGTTACCTTTTTGTTACACCAATGAATTACACTCCTACTTGAACACACAAACTGCCTATTTAAGCAGCAACTTCCCTCCCTCTTTCACCACACACACACACAAAATATCGTACTCTTTTTATCTTTTCTATACACCATCTCATTCTTCAAACATGTCTTTCACCTCAATTTATAAGGATTTCACTTGGTGGATGTTTGCCTTACCTGCTATTCTTGAAACCCAAAACTTTTTTAATCTGCTCATCCCTACATTTCTTATCTTTGTGGTAATTAGTGTTTTCACTTGGGCTTTTACCGCCGGTGGCTCGGCTTGGAAAAATGGACTGAACTGTATGGGCTGGGTTCCCATTCCTGGACCCAAAGGTCTTCCTATTTTCGGCAGCTTATTCAGCTTGAGCCACGGCTTAGCTCACCGCACTCTTGCTTTTACGGCTTCCACTTATGGTGCCACTCAAGTCATGGCCTTTAGCTTGGGTTCGACCAGGGCTATCGTGTCATCCGACCCAAACATAGCCCGGGAAATCTTGACCTCCCCACATTTTGCGAACCGACCGGTCAAAGAGTCGGCTAAGCAGCTCATGTTTAGCCGAGCCATTGGTTTCGCACCCAATGGAACATATTGGCGGCTCTTGAGGAAAATTGCCTCATCACATCTTTTTGCACCTAAGCGCATTTCAGCCCATGAAAGGGAAAGGCAGCTAGAATGCACCTCCATGTTAGTTTCTATAGCCATAGAACAAAACGTGCATGGCTCAGTAACTCTAAGAAAACACCTTCAAGCTGCTTCCCTTAATAACATAATGGGAATTGTGTTTGGGAAAAGATATGAAATGATAGAAGAAAATAATGAGGCCAAAGAACTTCAAGAAATTGTGGCTGAAGGATTTGAGTTATTGGGAGCTTTTAATTGGTGTGATCACTTGCCATGGCTAGAGTATTTTTATGACCCTTTTCACATCAAGGAACGATGCTTAGCACTTATCCCTCGAGTTGAAAACTTCGTTAAGAAGATGATTCAAGAGCATATTAATAACGGAAAATCCAAAAAGATTTCAGAAGCTTATGATTTTGTTGATGTTTTGTTGGCATTAAGTGGTGACGAGAAACTTCATGAGGAGGACATGGTGGCTGTTTTATGGGTTAGTAATAATATTACTCTACTCTTTTTCTAGCTTTGTCTTACTGATAAATATAAGAAATTATTTTCTTATTCCCCCCTAGCATGAAATATTTTTATTTCTAAGTACATTCCTGCCGACTGGCTAGAAGTTTCTCTATTTTAATTTGGATTGTTATATGGTATATTCCCACTTTGATTTCTCTTAGAAGGTGAGGTGATAGTAACCTTAGTATTTTGAAACCTATCATCTTCAAGATCGTTTAATATAGGTTATTCAGGCACGCGTCTTTAAATAGCTTATTGTTAAGGATGGTAACTGACTTGTTATTACATGTTAAATTAAACTATACTAATAATATATAAAATCATTATTAAGACAATGTATACAACTTAAAAATCCAGTCTTAATTCGTCCTTTCTTTCACTCCATAGATTGTTTAACATTTATTTTTTGTCTTCCACTTGCAGGAAATGATCTTTCGAGGTACCGATACAACTGCACTTCTAACCGAATGGGTAATGGCAGAATTAGTTCTGAACCAAAAAATCCAAGAAAAACTTCACAATGAGCTAGAAACTATAGTAGGGAATGAAAATGTAACAGATGCACATATTGCCAAATTGCCCTACCTTCAAGCAGTCATAAAAGAAACTTTAAGACTACATCCTCCGGGCCCACTGTTATCGTGGTCCCGGCTATCCATCTCCGATGTCCACCTCAGCAACGGCATGATAATTCCGGCCAACACAACGGCCATGATCAACATGTGGTCCATCACACATGACCCTAACGTGTGGGAGAATTCGTTGATGTTTAAGCCGGAGAGGTTCTTAGGGATGAATTTTGATGTTAGAGGTAATGATTTAAGGCTTGCACCATTTGGAGCTGGAAGAAGAGTTTGCCCTGGGAAGAATTTAGGGTTGGTTACTGTGAGTCTTTGGGTGGCTAAGTTGGTAAAGAATTTTATGTGGGTTGAAAATGAGACTCAGCCTGTTGATCTTAGTGAAGTTTTGAAGCTTTCTTGTGAAATGAAGCAGCCACTTTCTGTTATGGCTGTTCCAAGAAATGGTGGAATAACTACTGATTACTCCCGGAATTGCGTTATCAGAGCCGAGCCAGGAATGACTGTTAGTGGACATCCATCACTTTTTACCGGTTAAAGAGGACCTCTTAAATTAATACATTAAAAAAATATGGCTTTCTTGATTAGGGTTTTGATTCCTAATCTAACAATATGGAGATATCTGAACTAGGGTTTACCAATGTTTCATTTTACCAGCAATTACTATAATGTATAATGCATATACTATTATTCTAAATATTGAAGGAAGAATAAACTTGTCGGACGAATTTAAGATAGTGACTAATGTAAGCACTCTTTAATTTCTGTTCCGATAAGGTTGTATTACTGTATACTTTTTTCACCTGTGGAATAATGAATAATACAAAACTTATACTAGTAGTATAAATGTATCGACGTAGCTGGCAGCTGTGCTCTTTTACTCCTGTTTTCCTTCTCATTTCAATTGGACACTAACTTTCACCATTTCAAAAATTTCTCATCGGCAGAGTATAAGTTTACGTGAATTCATTCTAGCTTGTAGTTTCTTTATATTTAGTAATATCATTTTTTTGGGTGCAACGGTTAATTTTTTTTTTCTTCTTTGAGTTAATCCACCCACCCAGGCTGACCCCTATCTTATTTATTTGATGAGCAAAAAATATAAAGGAGGGGGACATATAAAAGCAAAACCTCCCAGAGAGAACATTACCCAAAAAACAAAAAAGAATACAATGGAACTAAATTAGTGATAATGTACTGATTCCGCTATTATTTTATAAAAAAGATAAACTAAACTGAAATCATACTTTAAGTCGATCACCTTATAAATGCTAAAACACTATGGTAACATATGATTCTAAGAAGGGCACCTGGGAGAGAGTTTAGGGGGTCTACTTGTCCCATAATCATGTCGACAGAGATTTGCAAAAGGGCAATGTAAAGTAGTAAAAACCTTACTAAAATCTTAATTCCAGTTACCTTATAAGTGCTACAACACTGAAATAATAGTTTCAGTGACCTTATAAATGATAATACAGCACATTAATATGGTGTTTGTATGGGTCTAAATTTGCCTTAAAGAGATTTAACATGAAGTGGTATTACGAAAAAGTAATATGGTCGAGATCGAGACCTAAAAAGTGGGGGTCATAGCCGAGTAGTCGATAACGGCCGAGGTCAAGCACCGAGAGCAGCAGTAACGGGTAGCTTTGTAATAGGATCTTTAGAAGAATATTCCATTGAATATTCTCTTTACTTGTACTTTTAGGGTTGACTGGGGATATGTTCCATATAAATAGAAAAAGAGATAAGGTGAAAGAGAGCAAGATCCATTGTGATAAGAACATTCTTTGAAATGCAGACTCTCTCTAGATAGAATACAAACATTACCTTTCTACAGAGATTCGCTTGTCTATTATTTCACACTTTTCCACAAGATCCAAGAAGGATCCTAATATTCTAGTATTTGTCTATCATTTATCCTTGTCAGAAGAAAGAATCATCCACCTCATTCAATATTGGGTAAATTCTTCTCCTTATTTACTTTAATGCTATTTATTGCTTGATATTCCGTCATTATTAATCATCTTGGAACATTGAATGTGTTATGTTCTAGGACTAGTTGATCGAGTTAGAGAGAAGGAAATGAGAGCAGAGAAGAGAAGAATGAACTGTGTTTCATATAATGAAATCTACTACTAACTTTATACAGATGCTATGTATATATACAAGTATCTCTAACCGACTCTAACTAATTTTCACAACTACCTCTATTAACTTAGCTGATGACAGCTGTCACCTAAGCTCCTAACTGCCTAACAGAATAAGTTGGAGGAGCAGCTTGGATGTTATGGCTCATACTCGACTTTTCAACACCCTCCCTCAAGCTTATGGTTGAAACACATATGTCAACCCCAGCTTGGATACTAAGTAATCATGTTGTGGCTTTCGCGGACTCTTGGTTAGTAGATCATCTTGTTGTTCTTTCGTAGAAACATAGTGTGTCTTTACCAATCCTTGAATGATCTTTTTTCTCACAAAATGGCTATCTATCTCAATGTGAATTGTGCGTTCATGGAATATGGGATTGGCTGCAATCTGGATTGCACTGTTGCTGTCACAGTATAGATCAATAGGAACTTCAACCTCCACTCATAATTCTTTGTATAGACCTGTTAACCAGGTTAATTCAGCCACTACTGAAGCTATGCTTCTGAACTCTGCTTCTGCAAAACTTCTTGCCACAGTATCTTGCTTCTTTGACTTCCAAGAGACTAAGGCATTTCCAAACTTCACTAGATAGCACGTAACAAACTTTCTAGTCTACACACAGCCTCCCCAGTCTGAGTCACAGTAGGCTCTTAATTTTCCAGAACTTTCAGAAGGCATCAGCAATCCTAGACCAGGTGCACTCTTGATATACCTTACTACCCTTAGTGCAGCTTCCATATGAGATTGCTTGGGCTTATGCATAAACTGGATAAGGACGTGAATAGCAAAAGCAATGTTTGCTCTGGTTATTATCAAATACAGAAGTCTCCCTACTAATCTTTGATAATGGCTAGCATCGGGTAGTAGATGATCTGTATCTGCATTGTCTTTGTCTGTGTTTTGAGTGTTAATGAAGCTGTCATAATCTGCAGAGGTAAGCTTTTGATTTTGCTCTAGTGGAGCACCAACTGGTTTGACTCCTCGAAGTCCCAGCTCAGCAATTAATTCTAGAACATATTTTCTCTGTAAATGATGATACCCTCCCTTGATCTGGAATTCTCAATGCCTAAGAAAAACTTGAGCTCACCAAGATCTTTCATCTTGAACATGAGTTGCAGATCACATCTAGTCTGCAGAATAAGCTGAAAGACAACTCCCTGTAACCAAAAGATCATCAACATAGACTAAAACAAGCACTAGCATATCTTGCACTTTCTTAGTAAATAAGGAGTAATCGAAATGACTTTGAGTGAAACCAAGCTGCAGCAGGGCATCAGTGAGCTTCTTGTTCCACTGTCTTGGTGCCTGTTTGAGGCCATATAATGATTTGTGTAATCGACACACTTTGCTTGTCCCTACCTGGGTAGAAAAACCTTGTGGGATGTCCATGTACACTTCTTCAAGCAAATCTCCTTGAAGAAAGGCATTGTGCATATCCATTTGAAAGACGTGCCAATGCTTAGCTACTGCAACTGCTACAACTGACCTGACTGTGACCATTTTGGCCACAGGGGAGAAGTTTCTGTATAGTCCAGCCCTTCCTGCTGACCATAACCTTTAGCCACTAGCCTTGCTTTATATCTTGCTACTGCTCCTGAGGCTGTATATTTGACTTTAAAAGCCCATTTTCATCCAATAGGCACCTTTCCTTTTGGAAAATCAACAATGCTCCAAGTCTTGTGTCTCTTCTAGTGCTGTGATTTGTGACTTCATAGCAACAATCCGTATAGGATTATGAACTACTTCACTATAGGATTGTGGTTCAACAATAGATGAATAGACACTGAGTGCAGCACTATAGGCAGAAGAAATGTTGTTGTAGCTTACATAGTTTGATATGGGATAACAACAGTTGGACTTCCCATGAGTTGAAACCACAAAGTTCTTCATCCACAGTGGTGGTTTAGACGCTCTAGAGATTTTCTACTAGGTTCAGGTTCCTCATGATGAGGCACTGGTGCTGAAGCGTCAATCGAAGACTCTACATTTGGTGATGTACTGGAGTCTAAAGTAGTTGATAAGTTTGGAATTTCAGCAGATACTAAGAGATCAGTAGGTTGTGCATTAGATAAACCTGTAGTATTTTGAGGAGATACTGTTATATTGCTTCCAGAGCTAGTGTCAAGGGAAAATTCTAAAATAGGAAATACTGATAATATAGAGGAGATAGTGTGTCCGAAGGGATAGACATCTTCCTTGAACACCACATCTCTACTGACTGTGAACTCCCTGGAGTCTAGTGTAAACATCTTATAGCCCTTTTGAACCATACAATATCCAAGAAAGACTACAGGAATAGCTCTAGGAGCAAATTCATCAGTTCTTCTTACCTCTGACACATAGCCTAGACAGCCAAATATTCTCAAATGAGTGAGAGAAGTAGGAGCACCCTGCAATACTTCATATGGTGTTCTACCTTTAAGTGTTGAGGTAGGTAGCCTGTTTATAAGCTAAGCTGCAGTAGTGACACATTCTCCTAGAATGTGAGTGGAACTGAGGCTTGGAATCTGAGTGTCCTGGCTACATTGAGTATATGCCTGTGTTTTCTCTCAGCCACTCCATTCTATTGTGGAGTGTAAATACAAGAGCTTTGATGAGTGATACCAAATGACTTGAGCAGTTCTATCAATTGAGTATTAAAAAACTCATAGCCATTGTCTGTTCTTGGAACTTTGACAGTAGAAGAATGAACCGTTTTAATCATTAAGAAGAAGCTCCTAAGAACCACAATTACTTCAACTTTTGAGGGTAATAGATACAGCCGTGTGAATCTAGAATGATCATCAACTATAGTCAAAATATATCTCTTCCCATCATAGGTAGGAACCCTGTAAGGGCCCCACATATCAGCATGAATGATATCAAAGTTAGAATAAGCAGTGGAAGTACTCAGAGGAAAAGGTAATCTTGCTTGCTTAGAAACTGGGCAAACAGTACAATGGTGTTCAATATCATCAAATTTCACATATTGAAATTCACTTACTTTCTTCAATATATCCATAGGTATATGACCTAGCCTTCTATGCCAAAGAGCAACATTTATTCTAGTATACTCAGTGGTATTTACAATGAGAGATTTTGGAACAGAACTTGAATTTCTTGTAGTAGGTGCATCCTCCATTGCTTGTATTATGCTCCCAGATGTGAGCACATATAATGCACAGTCTTCCTTACCAATCCCCTTCACCTGTTCACCGAAGAGATCCTGAAATATACAAAACTCAGGAAAGAACATAGCTACACACTTCAACTCCTTTGTAATCTTTGAGACACATAACAGATTGTATCTGAACTCTGGTATATGCAATACATTAGTTATCTTGTGGCCAAGAAATATGTATGTGGAGCCTAGATGTCTTACTTGTATTAGGAAAAATTAAGTTCAGATATAGAATTGATTGAAAAGTGACATGTCACGACACGTAGACTGGTCAAAGGATGACAATTGGCAAAGAATAGATAAAGAGGCACGAGCAACTACAGGCACGGGCGGGAATTCAAGAGATTCAAGAAAGATAAATGCTCGGACCTCTTTATGATCGAAGGTCGAGCTAAGAGCCGTAGACTGGTCAAAGGATGACAATTGGCAAAGAGTAGTTAAAGAGGCACGAGCTACAACAGGCACGTGCAGGAATTCAAGAGATTCAAGAAAGATAAAAATGAACCTGATAGCTAAAAAAGGTATAGATACGTATTGTCAGTAATCAATAGGCATTAATTATAGAAAAAGGTAGAGAATCTGTATTAAATCAAAATATGATTACCATTTATAACGTTACATTAAATGCCATTGATTGTCAATAATGGCTCTATTATGACGAAACAAAACGTATTACCTAGAGATAGTTATAAAAAGGGGAAAGCTGATCATTTGTAAGGACACGAAAGACTATTAGAATATACATGTTTACTTTGCTTTCTATTCAGCTATTCTTTACATCATTTATTCCTATTTTTATTTGATTATCAGTAACCCGAGTTCTTCTTGAAATAAGCTTTGATCAAAATCCTTATTTTTGTTAAACAAATTGGTTCCGTTACCGGGAATCTGATAATTTACTCCTTTCTACATTTATCTTTTTATCAATCATATCGAATGTCAACGACAACAGCAATCAAAGAATCCATCAACTCCAGGAGAATCTACAAGATGATCGTACCCCAACCCCTTCCCCACCAAGCTCTCCTCGACAATCTCGGGAAGGAACTCCTGATGGATCTCAATCAAATGCAAATGCTCAATTGGAAAACGATGAGGCTATCATGAAGCTTTGCAGAAGTTAATCGCTCAACAGGTTAGCAAAGCTCTTGAGGCTTTCGCCAGCGAGTTGCCGATCGCATCACCAACACCAATCCAAACAATAATACTTTGGAAAGCCCACGTTCTGGGCTCGTTAATTCAGGCAGTGGTGGAACACCCAGCGAAACTCGTGATGGCGAGCCAGGTAACACAGTTAATTCTGATTTGCAAAATTTAGTATTAACCTTGCAGAAACATCTTAAGGAGCAAAGCGATCGCATAGAGCAAATACCTGGTGTACCGCCCGTAATCAAGGGAATAGATATAGATAAATATTCGCAACAACCTTGGAAACCCAATGCTGCTCCTTTACCGATTTCGAAGAAGTTCAAGATGGTAGACATCCCAAAATATGATGGCACAACTGATCCGCGAGACCACGTGACTGCATTCACCACTGGCGTAAAGGGCAACGATTTAACCAAATAGGAAATTGAATCAGTGCTGGTCAAAAAATTCGGTGAAACACTCACTAAGGGAGCACTAACATGGTATTCTCTTTTGCCTGAAAATTCTATAAATTTCTTTGCTGAGCTTGCAGATTCATTTATTAAAGCACACTCGGGAGCTCAAAAAGTCGAAAAAAGAATGGAGGATATTTTCAAAATAAAGCAAGGAGATTCGGAGCTGCTCAGAGAATTTGTTGATAGATTCCAGCGGGAACGGATGACGTTGCCACGCGTACCTGATAACTGGGCAGGTATGGCATTCACCAGCAATCTAAATGAGAAAAGTTCAGAGGCCACGAGACGACTCAAAGAAAGCCTGCGATAATTTCCAGCCACAACTTGGAATGATGTTTACCGCAGATACAGCACAAAGATGCGAATAGAAGAAGATACTATTATCCAGTTTCAAAAAGAAGAGAGAGTAAGTTTAAGACGTGCTGAAACTGAAAAAAGGTCCGGGAAAAATAGATACGAGCCTTACATGGGACCAGCGGGAAAAGACTCACGATCGAAATAGGATAACTCAAGGTACGATCGTAGGTCGAGAGATAGAGAATCGGGTTCATCATCAAGGTTCAGAAAAGAGCGGGACACGCGGGAGATACGCGGTGATGATAGAAGCTCTAAGGTGATGATTGGCGGTTACAGTTTCAATGTAAGCATTTCAGAATTAGTAGCGGTATTAAGAAACATGGGTGATAAGGTGCGATGGCCAAAAGAAATGAGATCAAATCCAAATAGGCGTAACCCTGATCACTGGTGTGAATTTCACAATGATCATGGTCATAAAACGGATGATTGTAGATTGCTACAAGGTGAGGTAGACCATTTATTAAAGCAAGGATATCTTACCGAACTATTTAGCGAAAAAGGTAAGCAAGCGTACATGAAGAACAGGCAGGAGCCCCCTAAACCTCCTTCTCCGAAAAGGACCGTTAACGTTATAAGCGGGGGCGAAGAAATTAACGGTGTGACATATACGGCAGCCAAGAAAATTTCTAAAGTTACAGTTACACACGGGAAGCGGGTCCGACATGTTTTGGAGGAAGAAAGCATTACATTTGATGATGCAGACGCGGACGGCATACCAACTCCACACAACGATGCACTGGTAATATCTCTACTTGTACATGATACTAACGTAAAACGAGTTTTGATTGACCCAGGTAGCTCCGTGAACATCATTTTGCTAAGAGTATTAAGCGAGATGCAAGCTGAAGATAAGCTAGTACCCAAGGCGCATACTTTATCTGGCTTTGATAATTCGAGCGTCGTAACAAAAGGATTCAGGTGGTAGAGATGGATATGGCTTACAATATGATTCTCGGGAGACCATGGATTCACGAAATGGACGTTGTGCCATCTACCTTACATCAAGTCATCAAATTCCCATCACAATGGGGAATCCGTCAAATCCGTGGTGATCAACAAACACCTAGAAGCATCAACTCTGTAGAAGATTCAAGCACAAAAAACGAAGAAAAATAGCAATTACAGAATCCAGTTGAGGATGCCACACCACAAAACTCAACCGGAGATGGGCAAACAGATGTGGACTCACGACCTGATTTCATCCAAGAACCAGAAGAAAATGAAAATATCAAAACAACGATTGAAGAGTTGGAGGTTGTAGAATTATTCGAACAAAAGCCTGAGAGGAAAGTTTACATTGGGGCCAACTTAAGCCACGAAATGAAAGGTAAGTTGATCGAATTTTTGAAAACTAACGTAGATTGCTTTGCCTGGTCCCATTCTGATATGATAGGGATACCCCCGGAGGTAATGACTCACAAGTTAAATGAGGATCCATCATATCCACCTATCAAACAAAAGAAGAGAAAGCAGTGGTCTTTAAAAAATTAGGTGATTCTAGATGAGGTCCAAAAACTTTTAAAAATAGGCTCTATCCGCGAGGTAAAGTATCCTAATTGGTTAGCTAATACTGTAGGGGTACCAAAAAAGAATGGCAAATGGCGAGTTTGTGTAGACTACACTGAACTTAACAAAGCTTTTCCTAAAGATTCTTTTCCGTTACCACATATAGATCAACTGATTGATGCTACTGCAGGACATGAATTGTTAAGCTTCTTAGATGCATATTTCGGGTATAATCAGATTAAAATGGATCCCCTAGATGAGGAAAAAACTTCATTTATAACAGACAGGTGGACTTACTGTTACAAAGTAATGCCTTTTGGTCTCAAAAACGCTGGTGCCACGTATCAAAGGTTGGTGACCAAGATGTTTCAGGAACATCTAGGAAAAACTATGGAAGTTTACATAGATGATATGCTTGTCAAATCTCAACAATCAGGGGACCATATACCACAATTGTTTGATATATTTCATATCTTACGAAAGTTCAATATGAAGCTAAATCCCGAGAAATGTGCATTTGGCATCTCATCAGGTAAGTTTTTAGGTTTTCTTGTTTCTAACCGTGATATTGAAGTAAATCCCGCGCAGATCAAAGCCATTGAAGAAATTCCTGACATGCTTACAAATAAGAAGGAAGTGCAGAGACTAACGGGAAGAATTGCAGCCTTGGGGAGATTTATTTCTAAGTCTTCAGAAAAATGCTTTAAATTCTTTTCAGCTCTTAAAAAACAAGATCAGTTCGAATGGTCTGAGGAGTTTCAACAAGAACTAAAAACTTGAAGACGTACCTGTCAAATCCACCGTTGCTCGCAAAACCAAAAGATGGGGAAAGGTTGCTTATTTATTTAGCTGTTTCAGAAGTAGCGGTAAGTGCTGTTTTGGTTCGTGAAGACCAAGGTAAACAGTCTCCAATTTATTATGTTAGCAAATCGTTATTAGATGCGGAAACAGGGTATCCTCAACTAGAAAAACTTGCACTTGCATTAATCATGACATCTAGAAAATTAAGGCCTTATTTTCAATGCCACCCTATCTCTGTAGTGACTGTTTATCCCTTGCGTAATATATTACACAAACAGGAACTATCAGGTAGGTTAGCCAAGTGGGCCATAGAATTGAGTGAATATGACATCACATATCAACCTAGAACTGCAATAAAATCACAGGTGTTAGCAGAATTTTTTGTCGATTTTAGTCAAGGAATGCAACTAGAAGCAGAAAAATAACTACAAGTATTCAATGGATCTAATCTAGGAACCTGGACCTTATTTACTGATGGCTCATCAAATGTGAAAGGAGCAGTTCTGGGAATTGTTTTAGTACCACCCACGGGTGAAACCATACGACAAGCTATAAAATGTCATCCTGTGACTAACAATGAAGCAGAGTATGAAGCTGTGATTGCAGGTTTAGAACTGGCACGCGAACTTGGCATA